GGTTGGCTCGGCTGTTTTCGGCCAGGTTTCTGAGCAGTGTTTTCTTTCCGAACCGCAGGAATTTGTATGGAGAAAGCAGTGTTTAATGCAACGTGTTTTAAGTCGGACGCTCCGGCTAGGCGCTGGTGGTCTGGGCGGCGCGGCGCTGCCCTGGTGCGCCTGCTCCCTGCGGACGGGGGGCCGCTTCTGCGCGGGGTCCGAATAAACCTCCTTTAGTCCCGGAGAGTCCCTGGAAGAGCAGTGGGAACCTTTCACGCCAGAATCACTGGGCTGTCCCGCTCCAAAAAGTGAGTGTGTACAGGCTAACGTTGGACGCTTTCCAGTATCAGGCAAAGTCATTTTTTTCCTTAGAGAAAACTCTGTATTTGCAGAGCTTTTGTCACCAGGTGTTTTGAGTTTTATTAATCTAGGGTTGACAAGCGTAGCCACAGTAGAGGTCACATACGCTCTCAGGGAGCCGCTGGCCAGTTGTACTTTTGATGCTGAACTTTAATCAGGCCTAGGAAGTTCTTGAAGCGGGGCGTTCCTCGAAACCTGAGTAACACATTATATATGTTTTCAGGGCTGTTGGTTAGGGTTGGAAGCTGTACAAACGCATGAAGAATGTCATAGGGAGAACTTTGATCTTCCTGTGGTTTGTAGCGTTAGCTAGAGACTCCCCCAACTGTAGGTCTTCAGAGATTACTTAAAAGGTGAAAAAGAAAAGCAACAGATGTATTAAAAAGTTAAAAAGTGCATGGGCAGAAATGTTGCACGCTTGCGCTCTGGGCAGAGGCTTCTGAAGCCTGGTAGAATGCACAAAGGCAGCTGGGGAATTGGTCACCAGGTCACCTCGAAATTTTGCTCTCAAATCTTCCGTTCAGACTAGTAATAGTTTCCCAGGCTTTGCAAGTTTTGGGCCAGCAAGTAGGACTTTTCAGAAGTAGGCTTGAACAAAAATGCTCCAGTAACTGCTTTTTTAAAGAACATCAAGGATATAGTGAGTATTTTGTTGTTCAACTTGGAAACGTGTTTTTGTGGGCAGGGTTTTAGCCTATAAATAATAATTTTTTTAATTAGAAGAAAAATTTTCCACATATGATCTTAAAGTTTTTTTGTTAATGTCTATTTAAATATCTAGATTTTTTTTTTTTTGGAAGAATCACTTCCGTTAAGCCAGGTTTCACTTCCTTAGAATATATAATGTCATAAATTTGCTAGTTCTCTAATTGTCTGCAGAGTTTTGGCAGAACTTCAAATTCTAGTGTAGGAAAGCCTTTCTTTAAAAAAAAAAAAAAAAAAGCAAAACTTATTTTGCTCCCTTATGATGTAGTAAGGAGGGACTGTATCCTTCCTCTTCTCCCTGATCCCACTCTTTCCCTATCTTGGAAGTTATACTTAAAGTCAGTGGGCATGTGAAGTGTTGCAGACTTTCTTTAAAGTAGGCGTATGTCTGCAATATGCTCTTACTAGGCAGATGTGAAACTTAAAAACAAAATCCAGTAAAAATAGAAGCTGTCAGAACATTATGCATGCTAGGAGGATGTAGGAAAAAAGGTAACCATTTTTATTTTAGACGGGAGGTGGAAATCCATGCTAGTGTTTGTCTTTTTAGCTAAAAAGCTGGCATCATAATTAGTTAAAAAGAAAGTTAATTTACTGAAAGTGTTTCAGTGAGCAGGACACAGAGTTAAAGTAGTTGAAGTGCTTTTTCATGGATCTAGAGATGCCTGGGGAAGCTTTGCTCTGGGTACTCTGAGAGTTGCCTCCAGGTAATTTATCTGAAAACGGGTACCTGTCCACATGGGTTGCTGGGCTGTAGAATCTGGCACTATATTTTATGCAAAGTCCTTGGGGCTGCTTAGGTTTAAAATTGACTTTCTGACTCTCTGCACTTGGTAGCAGCTGACTGTAAGTTACTAAATTGACTCTTTCTCACAACTGGCAGTTCCTGCAAAAGCAATCCAGGAGAGAGAAATCTGAGGTATGGAGAGAAAAATCTGAAATAAGCTTTATTTGCACAGTTACATAACCAAAAAGAAACTCAAAACTTTTTTTTTAAAATAAGCATCTGTTTGTTCCCAAAACGATCCCCCTCAGAGCACTGACACTCTGATTACGTGGTGCATCTCAAATCTCCTGCCCCAAAATGTGAGAGCATGAAATCAGAAAGGTTGTTTTAAAAAAAAAAAAAAAAAAGTATTCAAGTGCATTAAACAGTTTTTGTGGCAGAACTGACAGTCTTCACAGACTTGTTCATCACGTGAAAGTCTTATGGTTAATGTGTTCTGTTTTAATAACTTAATGAATCAGATCTGGTGGCAAAAATCCTTTTCCATTACAAACTTACTAGTTTTTAAATTTGTTTATTTAAGATATACTGATAATAACTTGTAAACTTGCTGTTTTGCTTTGAATTAGTAAGATATATATACTTCTAATCCAGAATAAACAGCAAGTAACACATAGAGGGTTCTGACAACTACCACAAATTAGAGATTCTGCAGAATTGATAAGGTTAAGGTTACAAGTATTTGTGTAAGGCTTGAAGTGTCAGCTGGTTTATGCACAGTGGTCTAAAAGAGATTGATCATTCCATCAAGTTTGCATGGGTAAATCTTTATATCTCAAGCTTCAGTGGGAGTACATTCAGGAATGTGGTTCTAGTTATACATACTACAGATGCAGAGTGAGGCCCTAATATGCAAATACTTGTGGATATGTAGCTAACCAAATAGTTGAATTTACATAATGGTTTCAGAAGATTAAAGAAATAAATAATGAAGTTCATATGTCAAAAAAATTTCCTTTAATAAGAATTAGGATTGGAGTGATTATACTCGCCCCTATTCATTGGGGGGGGGGGGGGGGGGGGGGGGGGGGGGGAGTCAGTTTAGGTTGCCAGATTTTAATTGCCAGCATGCTACATAATGTGGCCTTTCTTAGAACTGGTTGTATGCAAATGGAGGACACAGGTTGTCCTTAGGTACTTTGCTTTCTGGCTTTGGCTGTTGGCCATAAGGGGGAAAAATGCCCCAAAGGGTTTTCAGTTGCATTAAAAGGGGGGTGGAGGGGAAGGTGCAGCTGTGATAACTTCAGTCATCCAGTTTCTTATCTTAGATACTCTTGACTTACAATTGTGAGTTAATTGAACTCAGGATTAATTTTGTGTCTTTTGGGACAAATCTGCACATGTAGAAACATTTTCTTTCTATTAATTTTAAAAACTGAGTGCTATAATAATTCTCTTGATACAAAATTAACTAAATGTAAACTTTGCTATTCATAGCTTTCTTCTTATGTTTCTTTCAAAATTGTTAAACTTGCATACTTTTGATGAGTAATGTCACATTAAATGTATACTATGTAACTAAATTGTACAGGGTGCTTTTCTGCTTCTGTTATGTTGCTATTTCGAAAACTTATTCTGATAGGCAAAATAATTTTCTGTGTTTTGTGCCAGAAAATATCTTAATAAACTCCATCATAGATGTCAGTGTCTAGTTTTTGTGCTTGCCTAACTTAATCTATGTGCTGCTTTAATGCTGAACAGTTTAACTCTTGGTGCTAATTTGATAAGTTATCGCCAGATTTTCATCCTAACTGCTTTTTTTTTTTTTTTTTAACAGAAACTTTGGACAAGTGGGGTAGAGTTCCTTGGGGCAGGGGTGGAGCTAGTTGACCTGATGGGATAGAACTTTCTCTGAAAATAAACTGCTTCTAAGATTCATGGAGAATTGCGGCTATTGCATGTGAAATAGCTGCGTAAACATACTTTTCTGCAGAAACTATGATGAATGGGAAAGATAGGCCCTGTAATGGAAAAAAAGTTGTGGGTTTAGTTTTTTGTGCCTGCAGGTGATAGCATCTTTCTTCCTTGCATGAGTTTACTTGGAAGAGCTGCTTTCTTCTAATGTCTCTGTGAGACCCAAGTAATAAATGCATTTATGTTGTCACCTTTTAGCAATGAAAAGCTCTGGGGAATAGCACGAGTAAAGATTCCAAACGTCTTTTCACAGTGCTCCCCTGAGGCTTTTCTCATGTTTTGTATCCAGTGCAGATGGCAGAGGGTTCTCTTCATGCATTGATTTGGAACTGATGAGAATAAGTGGTGTGAAGTCCATTAGGAGTTGTTCCTCTCGCTCTGGGTCACTCTTGCTCTCTCCCTGCCCCCAGACACCATATATCCAGTGGATTTAAAATACTATGAATGGGTTCAAAGATGAGTTAATATGTACTGATAAGTCTTAGATTTGCATCAAATGGCATGTGTAAACTAAATTGCTTGGATAGTAGAGGTAGATTAATGTTGAAGTCGGTGAGAATGTTTCCACTTAAGGATGTTGTCACTTAAACAGGAAGATTAGCTGTCTTTGGTTTTATGATATTGAGTTGTGTTTAGTATTTTTATGAAGCATTTGTTAATTTTCAGTGTCTTTTGAAAGTCCTTTCTGTATCTCTTTGAATGTACAGAAGGTATCTTTAAATGAAGGAGTGAAATACTTACTTCAAAGATATGCATAAGAATTGTCAGACGCTTATTAGAGCTTCTGTCTGGCGTAGGCGGCGGTTGGTGTTCTGGGGGATGGACCTGAGGTTGTAAAAGCTTGCAGTGCTGATGTGAAATGTTTTTTGTGACAGACTTAATACAGAAGATGCCCTCTTTTTTTGAGGGGTTGTACTTGTATGAACAGAGTACTAGAAGTAGTTCAAAAATCAGAGTAGGTAGATAGCTTTATAGAATATTGTAAAAAATCTCTAGAAATATCTAGAAAATAGTTGGTAACATTTCTAGTGTGTCATACTCTTGTGGTAGCTATTTACTGAACAATGCCCTTTTAAAATCTTTTTAAAAATAAAAACAGTGCTTGAGAGGTGGAGTATGATACTGCTGCTCCATCTTATTTCCCAAGGAAGATTCTAGTTTAAAATGTACTATATTATCTTCATTTAACAATTTAGATGTTCAGAACTGTAGAATCTACCTATAGATTCTGTATATTAATGGCACACTTTGTTTTAAAGCAAAGTTGCCCCATTTCTAACTTAAATGAGACTGCTTTCAGATTTCAACATGATGAATAGATTTTCTGTTATCACAAGACATTGTGTCATGTGTGTGACACAGTAATGTCAGTATCGCTGCTTTGTATTGCACCTTTCAGGAGGCTGGACGGTAGCGTATAGTTCATTCTGTTTACGCACGCACAGGCGCAGGGAACCAGGTGAACAAAGATGTATGTTTTCAGGAGAAATTCAAAGCTAGCTACTAAGTTGATGAAGTAGGAAAACAGTAGTTTTTGTAGAA